GCTCAATCCTTCATTAGAAGATCCACTGGAAACTCTCAGTAACCTCAAAGCCGACTCTTGACCTGGACGTCACATTAGTAATCTCGCTTGAATGAATCAATTGAACGGCGGACTTGCCTGATATCAGCGCTGCTGGCACCAATCAACACCTCAAACGCGCCCTCCTCTGCAATCCAGGCGCCTTTCTGACCAAGACTCGTGTCGAAGTATCCCACGGAGTACTTGTCCAGTGTCAAGACTACATCCTTCGTCTCACCAGGCTGCAGGAACACTTTGCCGAAAGCTTGGAGTTCCTTTTCGGGGCGAGGAAGCGTCGATTTGACGTCTTTGACGTATGCCTGGACAATCTCATGTGCAGCAAATGAACCTGTGTTTGTGACTGGTACGGTGATAGTAATCTTCCCATCCTCAGACAGTACCGTGCTGCTAGCGCCTGGTATTCCGTATTCGAATGTGGTGTAGGTAAGACCGTGACCGAACGCAAACAGCGGTGCAATCTTTGAGCGCTCATAATGCCTGTAGCCCACGTAGATACCCTCGCCGTAGACGGTCTTCAAGTTCTCACCAGGCCAGTTGTGGTACGCTGGGTTGTCTTCGATCCGGACAGGGAAGGTCGTTGGCAATTTCCCGCTGGGACTGCTGTTGCCGAGCAGCACATCGGCAAGAGCATTTCCTGCTTCCTGACCTTGGTACCATGCCTGAAGAATAGCCGGTGCCTTCTGTACCCATGGCATGGTAATCGGTGTTCCAGATTGGTTGACGATGACGGTGCGTGGGTTGGCAGCTAGAACAGCTTCGATCAGACGATCCTGCGAGCCATTCTTCGGGAGATCCATCGTTTGCCTGTCGTATCCTTCCGACTCCCACTCGGCGTCCAGTCCAACGACTACTACAGCCACATCAGCATCACGCGCTGCATCCGCCGCTTCTTGTAGACGATCGATCTTGTCCTCCTCTTGGTAGCCGATTCGGCAGCCACCGTAGTCGTGGCGACGGCCGATGATAGAAACCTTAGACGCGGGTCGGACTTCGTTGGTGCTCTCGATCAGAATCTCCACAGGTTTGCCCTCTTCAAGATGGATCGACTTGAGCACATCTTCTGAAGCAGAGAACATAGCCTCACCCTCCTGAATCCAGTCCCAGTTGTCGATGAAAATGTCGCCGTTGATGTACATGCGCCCTGGCCCGACGGACGCAAAGCTGAAGCTGTGGTTTCCGGTTGTCTTCGGTGTGAGTGTGGTCTTGACTTTGAAGGAAAAGTCTGGAAGTAGTTCCATTGGCGCAGAGTCCCACAGCCACAGATCTGTGCTGACCTTGTGTTGAACGACTGCCGGCTCACCCTTAAACCTGTCGCCCTTGTAGTATTCTAACCGAACACCAGTCTCGCCGTTGGACTGGCAGTATGGCGAAGCAAGAGGTAGCCATTTCGAGCTATCGCAGCCTTGGGCGAATGTGATGTCTCCGTCGAATCGATTTTGAAGGCCTTGCCAAGGTGTGACGTTGTAGTAGGGGTTGAGACCTGCGCTTCCTCCTCCACTGGCAATGGCTCGCTTGACATTTGGCCCAATTATAGCAATCCTCTTCGCGTTCTTGATGGGGAGTACGCTGTTCTCGTTCTTCAGGAGTGTCAACCCTTCGATACCAGCCTGGAGAATCAGGTTCCGCGTCTCCACGTTGTCGATCGACTGCTCCGGCTCCTCTGGTGTCATGTTGTTCAGTCCCTTGACACGATCGACAAGATAAAGTACTCTGGCGGCGGATTCTTCGATATCACCACGGGTGAGCTCACCCTTCTCCAGACATTCCTTCACTTGGTCGATCTTGCGCCATTTGGACGGCCCGGGCATCTCAACATCAACACCAGCTTTTATTGATGGTGCGGTCGCATATGTGCCCGTCCAGTCGGAGATAATGGCTCCGTTCCACTTCCACTCGCCTCGTAGAATCTCTTTGATCGAGTGTTCGTACTCATCCGCGTGAATGCCATTGATCATATTGTAAGCGCTCATGAGCGCCCAGGGTGATGCATCTCGAACAGCTATCTCGAAGGGCTTCAGATAGATCTCACGCAATGGCCGTTCAGCAATGATAGCATCGTACGCTTGCCGCTCAGTTTCTTGCTCGTTTCCGAGAAAGTGTTTGATCGTAGCTGCAACACCCTTGCTCTGAAGACCGCGAACATACGATGCAGCAAGCTTTCCAGTAAGGAAAGGATCTTCCGAATACGATTCAAAGTTGCGACCACCAAGAGGCGACCGGTGCATGCACACGGTGGGCGCAAGCAACACGTGTGCACCACGAGCCTTTGCTTCTTCTCCGAGGTGACGGCCAATCTCCTCAATCATATCCAAGTTCCACGTGGAAGCCATGGATATGCCGCATGGGAATAAAGCGGCCTAGCTTCGTCAGCGTAAGACAAGCAGTGCCAAGCCGGAGTACGTACAGGTGTGCCGTTAGTGAAGAACTCTCCGCGAGCGCCATTGGGTCCATCTGATGTCTTGATTGACGGTATGCCCTTTTCGGGTATGGCTACAGTCCGCCAGAAGTCCGCTCCTGCAAGTAGTGAGATCTGGAATGGTCAGCCCGGCTCCGCTTAAGGCTGCTTCGGCTCTCGAATAGATTAACGAGGTCAGGTGGGATTCTAAGCGATCAGAAAAGCCATTCATTTTGATTACCGACTTTCGAGAACCAATCCTTCTAGACCTTCTGCTCCAAAACACGGGCTGAGATAAGGGATTGTGGCTGGGGAATGACTCGTATCCCTAACAGAAAGACGTGTAGGATAGAAGTTGACACCCCCTTCTGCCTCGGTCATTCGACATGACCGTATCGAACGCCGAAATTCGAGATATCTGCCACAGAAGTAAAGACGAACATACCTGTTCCTCTAGAGTCAGCTTCGCCGCAAGTTCCCTCGCTTTGTCGTCCGGCCGCTCCATGGAGAATATCTTCTTGCCCGCCATCGTTTCGTCTGCCGGGGAAGCCTCCTCTGGAGTCGCAGCAGGCGTCAACGTAGGAGTAACGAGAGTGACTGGTTGGATGTGGATAGCCACGTGCTTTATGTCGTGCTGTTTGATATCTTCCGTCGGACTAGCGTTTCCAAGGTTGATTGTAGCCATTGCAGATCAACCAGAATTGATCATTCGATAAATGCGGAGCGTTCGAGCGAATTGCCGCGCCTTCTTGCCACTGCAACCGGTGCGGTAACGAGCGAGGTGTTGGACGACGATGCGAACGAGAGAGGGAGGACAAGCTGAAGAATTGGCAGATTCAGAGGCAGTCAATCGAAGTAGATTGTCATCCTTTAGTACTTGCGCAGCGCTGGATGCGACCGTCTCTTGACGCATGGACCCAGAGAAACCGCTCGAGTACCGGATCTATTGGAAACAAGCCTTGTCCTAGTCACGGCTCGCAGGCACGTCGTCTCAGATCTACAAGGTAAGTATTATTGGTCGGCGGGGGCAATCAACCGAAGTTAACGCGCCCGTCTCGATCTGTCGACAGGAGGGAGGCTCATGTGTGATCTCAATCTAGATCCGTTGCAACGGCTTCTTGTGGCGAAATCCGAGAGTAACGCGAAGGGTACGATAGCAATCCTTTGATCCCCACCTCGTTGCAGCTTTCTGAGCAAGTAAGAACCAGACATCCCGCGCAAGTAGGTTGAAGGAGCAGGTGACACGTAGACTAGACATGCAAGTCTACGCCGCGCAGCGAGACATTCGTCTCTCGAGGTAAGCAGCGTGGAACTTGATTCGTCGCCTACTCTTTGTTGGACAGCTGTGATGGCGGACCTGAACCTCCGAAGCTAGTCTAAAAGGCAGTTGAGCAGCTTCCGAAGCGCACATTAGGCAGTCAAAGGATGATACAGCGCGGTTGCATACCAATCAGTGGTGGGAAATCTCGCAATGAGGTTGTAGCGGCCCGAGAGGCGGGTATGTTAGCGGGAACCCGGGCCAGTGAACCGTCTGCATCCTGGCTTGCATATCACGCTGACGAAGTCTCCGCCTGGGCCAAGCGAGCGTTGATTGTGGTTCATCGAAACCATCGGACGTTGGAAGCAGTGACCAGACCAGAAAGTCGGAATGGAAACATCTGGACGTCGTCTGTTCTTGCCCCGCCAACGCCGCACGTGCACGATGTCGCGGTTGCATCTCAGACACACGAAGATCATTGCGAAGTCTGGCTATCTTCACCGAATTTTCATCTGCGAATCCGTATTTCAATGAGGATGCGAATCTATCACGACACTACTGTTCAGGCCGGCTGCTAGCTCGTGCGTCAACTCGTAGCCCTATATCCCCACGCTGTTGAACACCTGACACGAGCAAATTGATCGGAGTATCGTCGGGGGAATAGCAAATGAAAAGGTACTATGGTACTTGATTGCGACCGCACCGTAGTCATTCAGTAACCAAGTGTTGGTAGCAGCAAGTACATCGTTGAGATGCACTGTTTCCTGCTGTGCTGGTGTTGGAAAGGCACTGCGGCAAGTGACTTCGGGAGTAACTTCCGCGCCGCTTATCCTGCGTGCCTGCTTTCTCAGCAGGCGAAGCAGCGCTCAACCTCCATGTCCCCGGAATAGCATGTGAACACGTTCTGCGTATCATGAGGAAGGATAGTGGAGTACTGTGCCGTCTCTGGGGTCTTGCGCTGAATGTGATCGGCATGAACACACCGTTTGAGCAAGCCGAAGAAACCGCCATCAAAGCTGTGCCTGACGTCTCATTACTCGACCACGCAAGAACGTTGAACAATCTACATGTATTTCGGCGTCTGTGAATCAGAGCATATTTGCCACTATCTCAGAGTACCTAATCACCTTCCCATCAAAAGCCATCTTTCCACATTGCATTCACGATCACAGCACCTAAAATCCGAAATGCATGGCTCAAGACCAATTCTTCTATACGAATGCTAACTCATTGACCCAAAGAGGCTTTCCATCAACGTTGCCTCCTTCTCTTCTCATACGCCTCATCGAGGATGCTTTTAGCTTGAATCTACCAATCATCCTGCTTCCGTCCATGCATAGCAGCCTGACGCTGTCTAAGCGCCTCTGCTAATCCACCAGCGATACTACCACTGCTATCCCGCGCGCTCTCCATTGTGCTACCCCCACTACCACTGTACCCACTATCCCGTCCAGAGTCACCGTTGACGGCTTTCCTGGCGGCAGGACGTTTGGCAGGTGGAGCCGGAGGCTTGGGCTTGCTGTTTGCAGGGCGAGCGGGTGGCGCTGGGGGTGGAGCAGGTGCTGCTGAACGTACTTCCTCAAGGTATGCAGACGGCGCCCAGCCGGAGGCGGATTTGTCAAGACGGGATGCTAGCCACCAACCTGTTGAAGCTTCGTTAGTATGTCGCGTTAGTGGAAGATCAGGATGAACGTACCATTGCCCTCCTTCTGTGTGACCAGGATGATCTCATCCTTCCCTAGACTCAACTCTCCAGCGCTCTGACCTGCAAAGTCATATAGCGCCTTGTATCGAGGTTCCTTCGGCTGAGCTGGCGCTGGCGGCGGTGGGGGTGGAGGAGGAGGTGTGCGTGATGAGCCGGCTGACGCGGTACGCGCATGAGAGCCCGCACCGTTCGACAAGGCAGCGACGGGCGCCGGAACAGGTCTGGCTTGCGACACTTCTGGCTGAGGGACAGGTCTCGGTTGCGGGGCGGCAGGCGTGGGTACAGCCCTTGGTTGTGCTGGACGAGAGGCGAGCTTCGAAGGACCTCCGCCAGGACCACCGGGCCGCAACAGCTTACCCTTTGTGATGGGCTTTGCGGCGATCTGCTTGCCTTTGGGCGTGGGCTTGGAAACGGAGTTGGGTGGCTCTCCTGGCCCAACGTGGATGGTGCCACTCTTGTACTGGTCATCCCTCGGTACTGCGGGATCTTTGACGACTTTGACCTGGGCTGGCTTGCCAGGCTTCTTGTTGTATTGGATGCTACGGTGTGTTAGCCATTTCCGGATGCATGCCGACTGTGGAACTTACGTTTCGCCTATTTGGAGTGTCATTGCGCCTCGCAGCACGTTGTGCAGCTGAGTGAAGAACTCAGTCTTGAATACGCAGTTCACTAGTGGATCAGGATCTGTTGGCGACCCAGCGCCGATCGAGAACCAGTCGTCTTTGAGTGTTGAACAGCTGATCATCTTGATGGCGCCAACGGGTATTACCCTCTCAGGCAAAATCTGGATTTGCCCTTTGACCGAGGCAACCTTGACCAGGTAAACGTTCTTCTTTGTCAGAATGAGCGTGCGAGCTTCTGGTTTACTTGATCGACCGAGCTTCGATACAAGCACTTCCGCCCTGCACGAGAACGGCACCTCTTCGTTCGGAGCTATGCCGACCGCTTGGGCCATGACCTCACCAGTGCCACCTTTGTTTCCGATACCAAGGTAGTCGCCCATGAATCTTCGGGAACCGATTAAACTGTATCTTCTGCGTTCTTTCCGTCCTCCGAGTATCTTGTGACCTTGGTCGCGCCATTCGATGAATTCCTTGCCGCCATTAAGCTTGCGCCAGAACCGCTGGATGCGTGTCGCGCACTCTGCTCGGTATCGTAGATAGTTTCTCCATGCGCGCTGAATGCGAATAGCCATGTTGTGCCAGTACTTGTCTCGCATAGTCTCCAAGGCGAACAGTGTCTCGGGTGTCTTGATGAAAACCTTTGTTGTACCAATTTGGAACTCCTCCGCTGGGATGTTGGTATCCTTCAAGATCTGTTTAGCACCCGTCTCGTAGTCGCCGGTCCAGGTGTACTCTCCGGCATATGAGCACTTTGGTGACAGCAAGAAGAACCGTTCCACGAACTTATCGAAGGTCTGACGAGACGCAAAACCTGCTCTCCGAATGCGCACGTTTTCTTGCAGACCCAGGTACTTGACCTGATGTAGTACGTTGGCATCGGTGAATTCCTTGGGCGATTTGTTCTCGTTGGGCTTGATGGTACGGATGTAGGACGGACGAGCTTGCATCAAAGTCGTCACCAGGTCGTTCGCAGAGGCTTTGATCTTATCTCCAGCCGTCGGGGGTCGCCGCCTGTTGTCCTGGTCCACCTGGTGGGGGAAGAGAGTATGCACAAAGGTGTTGCTGCTCTGGCCAAGCAGGTTCAGCAAGTCTTTCAACAACTGATCCTTGTTCTTGTCGGTCATGCCATCGATCGCGTACGAGACCTCACCAGCATAGTGCTTAATGACGAACTGACCCTGGCGAGGCGTGAAGTTGGGGTTCGACGAGAGAGCGTTAAGTCTCTGGACAAATGTTTGATCCGCAGCGGTAGGATCGGCGTGGGCTGTCGCACAAGCGTCATTCAGGGCAGCGAAAACACCCGGTGGCCGCTTCTCCTCAATCAAGTCGCATACAATCTTGTTGTCGAAATACTTGATGGGAGTCCACTTGATCTGCTCGCGCTCGTACTCTTCTTGTTCCGCCTTGAGCGTCAACTGGATAAAGATTTGCTGTAGCTTCTCGTTGACGTAGTTGATGCACAACTGCTCGAAGCTATTCTTTTCGAAGATCTCGAAGCCGTAGATATCCAAAATACCAATCGACTGGGCGGTCGCACCTCGGGCCTTCAAAGAGACGTTGACGCGCTCCACGATCCAGTCGAAGAGGTTGAAGTAGATTCCCTTGGAGAGTGCGTCGCGGACTGCATTTGCTTGCGCGCAGTTCAGAGGCACGTCGTACACGGAACCTCGTCGCCCTCCTCGACTTGTCTCCATAACACGAATGGTCAGAGCTTTGTTGACATGCGACGCATCGACTTCAAGCAGATAGGCTACGAAATCTACTACCGACTGGTCGACAATAGCTGCGTTGCCTGAGTCATCCTCGCGGAACGACACATTCCCTAGCCACAAAATCGCTGCAAGCATCCGGAATATGTTGTCCTGCTCAGCTTGTTGTAGTCCAATAACCTTCATGGCGTTCAGCGTGTCGTCGAACTCGGCGTGGTCGTCGATCCCCGGGACGTCGAAACATTTCGATTTGCTCGTGTAGAGGTAGGCTTGCGGTTGTTGTAATCCGAAGATTTCTGTGCATGTCAGCGCGAGTCTGATGTCTAGTCAAACTGGGCGTACCTCTGTATTGTGAGGATGCGGCTTTTGTGAACTGGTAGAAGATATGGAAGTTGCGCTCGTTCACAATCTGACCCGTCACTCGGGTCTTCTCGAGCAGGTAGTTGTTGATGTTTGCTCCCACTGGCTCTCCTTGCGCGTTGAAATGAATCTCGAGATACTTTCCGAACCGCGACGAGTTGTTGTTCCTCAACGTCTTCGCGTTTCCGAAGGATTCGAGCAGCGGGTTGGTGGCCAGCACCATGTCCTTGATCTCCTGGATAGATGAATTGCTACCTCCCGAGACATTGGCGATGTACTGCATAAGTCGCTTCGCAGCTTCTGTCTTTCCCGCTCCTGATTCGCCGGAGATGATGACACATTGGTTCTCCTTGTATGCGTTCATGTTATAGTAGGCGGACTCGGCGATTGCGAAGACGTGAGGGGGTACCTATACCTCATTAGCCCTGGGAGTTGGTGGACAGCTATGCACCGCACCTCCAGCCTGTTCTTGCCCTTGTAACTCTCCAGCACTTGGTCGGTGTAGATGCCCACTGCCACTTGTCAGCATCCCACTCTGAGGCGCATGTCCTGTCACCTACAGTCGCGGAACGGGTTGACCGAGACCAGCACGTGGCCGATGTATGTCTGCGCCCATAGTCAGTCGCTGTCCTAGTCTATGGCTGCGTGGGTGTGCGACGCGGGGCTGGCGCAAGCGGGTCGACGCACGTATATCTCGCCATTTTCGAATCGCTTCTTCAGGTTCTCGTTGATGGCCTCATTCGAAACCTTGCTGATCAAGGTGAGATCCGATACACCGACTTCCTTCTTCTTGGTGGTCTCGAAGACGGCCTTGGTAGCGAACTGGGCCTTGGGCTGAGCGCCGCCTCCGGCCTTGCGCGCGGCGCGGTTGGTTTTCCCCTACAAATCACCTGTATCAGCCTGTGTTCCTCCCCCGAAGTCTCTCTGCATCTTACCATGATTGGTGCCCGACGTCGAGCTGGGACCTGTAGCTTGAGCCGGCCAGTGGGGTAGGACGTGTGCTGCGGATTTCAGGGAGCAGCGGATATGGTAACAATGGACGGCAAAGCCAGGTAGAAGCCGTATGGGGGAGCAGTCGCTCGGGGGTGTGGGCGTGTAAAGATGGCTGCAATGCGGCGGTTGTAGAGACCGGCCAACGTCAGAGCCCTGGATGGAATCGGGCGCTTCGGAGGGTACTCGCCCCATCGTCCAGCACAGCCACAGCTATTCAAGTACGACGTACGCGCAAGCTGCCGCCGCGGCTGGAATTTCCTCGTCATCTCCATTCACCCCCATTTCCTATCGGGCTACACACATCAGACTGACATGCATTGTAGCCATGTCACTTGCTAGAACATCTGCTGTCATACTACTGCATCATTCACCGTCGCCGCTGCGAACCCATCCAGGCTCGGCCCAGTTTCCGCATCAAAGTGTCGCAGCAAACGCCTCACACAAGGACGACCCGGGTGTGCCGCGTACGCATAATTTCTCGTGACGTGTCACAAACTTAGGCATTAGGCACCAACGTTCTCATGGTCGTGACCGGATGCTCATTCAAACTAATCGCTAGGAGAAAACGCCAGCAACATGCAAACCGTCGTGAATGAGTGTTCGAACAACAGCACTGCTCAGTAGCAGAGACGACGCCGTGGAAATGCCCAAAACCCTAATAGAAATATCCCAGATCCCAAAAACGCCATCGCTCCAAGGTCGTCATTCAATCATCATGAGAAAACATCACCGCCAAAACGCCCAACGCTCGCCCAGTCCAGCCGCTTGGACTCTTCTAGTTGCGGACCGCCCCAGGAATATACCTTGGGGTCTACGAGGCAGCCCAGACCGCCTTCTTGACACCATTCCGACACGACAGCATAGATAAATTCAATCTTCGCGCGGAGGAGGTTGCCCTCTGTGAGCTCTTTGTAACTGTCTTCCTTGTCGGCTGAGCCGTAGAGAAGCTGTTGCAATGAACCGCGAAGATGTGCTCTGGCCTTTACGTGCTTCCACGGCACGTTTCCTGTTTCTTCGAGAAGAGACGTCGCATCCAGAGGCAGGCATAAAAAGTGCCCGTAGCTTGCATCTGACGACAGGACGAGTTTGGTGTGGTCGGGGAAGTTGAACTAAACACATTGTTAGACGGGCTTTGTAGAAAATGGCAAAAGCGCTTACTTGGAAGGAGCCGTCGTCGAAACCCCAGATCCCGACGTTACCAAGGCGTTGGTAGAAGCGAACAAAATTCACGCGGGGATCTTTTCTGAGCGGCTTTTCTTCGTCGCCAAAGGTTGCACACATGTACTTTCCAAACTTGTGCCACACTGTCCGGATCTCCTCAATGCGTCGCGATTCGAGCACTTCAATCTCCGACAGTCCCCGATCTTTCTTCACGGTCGTGTAGTAGTTGAGCGCAACGCTTTTGGCAAGCTCTCGGTTGCCTCCAGCCTTTCGTAGGTGGTTGTATCCGTCCGTGGCGAACGCAATCGTAACGGGGTATTGGTCCTCTGCAGAGAGGAGTGTGCCGATACTACCATCGTTGAGGACGTACCCCACCCCGTATCTGCGGCTGTAGTCTACCCATTTTGCGACAAACGGTAATTGCGGTGGCTGATCTCTTCTTGACTTCGTAGGCTTCTTGTCGAGGGCTCGTTCAAGGTTATCGCGGAATGTCATCAAGCGCGCCAACACGGTCACTGGGTCAGTCGCAGGCATGTCATTGCTGACGGTCCGATAGCGGGGAGCATTTCGCGCTGAAGTTGGTTGCGGCGCAGGTTCCGATTTCGCGCTCTCTCGAGCGCTGGTCCGGGAGACTCTTAGAGGTGGGAGGTCAGGGAGTCCGTTCGATGTTGTCTTTGGCGCTTCTTTTGCGGTTTCCTTCGCCGCTCGTGCGCGCGTCGAAGTGCGTGCCTCACGAGGGACGCGTAGAGGAGCAGGTGCGGAAGCCGTGCTCGCAGTAACACGCCCAGTGTTCGAGATCTTGCGGGCTGCTCGCAACCGCGTCGGCTGTTTGTCAAGTATCCTGTGCGCGGGCTCTGGCTCTTCGGCTGGCTCTACGTTCTCCTTCAATGTCTGCATCGGCTGTGGTTCTCTCCTTGGGGCTCTGGATGCACGAGTCTTTGTCCGCTCGTTCCCGGTAGTTTCTGACAGGGCTTGGCTTTCAGATGACGATTCCTTCTCTTCCGATATTTCGCTGAGCCCTCCCGGGGCTTGATGAGGCCACTGCGTGCGGGCAGGGAAAGGTACGTAGACGACATCTTTAGAGAACGGGATGTTTGGTTGCTTGCCGGCTTCAATCTCCTTTTGACAATCTCTTGCTACTGTCTTGTTGGTTCTGCGACCGAAGGTTCCAAATGCCTTTCCTTGTTCGTATTCGCCGACCGATGAGGACTTGCAAAGTGCCCACCATTCCTCAGTGTATCCACGCCTAATCGTGGATGCTGTTGGTGGGCGGTTCTTCGGCCATTTCGGCACCCGCGAGGTACATTCGCTGCTCAGCTCCAATGGGATATAGCCCAGTTTGAAGAAAGGGTGCGCAACGATCTGGTCGGGGGTCGGTCGCTCGTCTTCGTGCACCAACAGTAGCGAGACGATGTCGCGGAGGTCGTCGGTGATCTCGTTGGCAAACTTGGCGAGGTCGGGCCAGGTGTATTCGCGAGCCTTCAGCTTCCGGTAGATGTCTTCGCGCTTGGCGGCATGGAATGGCGCCCTTCCGACCGCGAGTGTGTACATCATGATTCCAATAGCCCACAGGTCGACCTTCTCGTCATGACCCTTTCCTGTCTTCTCCAAGACCTCTGGTGCAAGGTAGTTTGGTGTACCACACATGGTTGTTCGACGGATCGCCCCATAGTCGCTCTGTGACACCAGTAGTGCAGCGAGACCGAAGTCGCCGACCTTGACATTCATATCGCGGTCGAGGAAGAGGTTGCCTGTCTTGAGATCGCGGTGTACGATGTTCCGTTGGTGGAGGTATTTGATTGCGCCGCACGTCTGAATCATGAACCGCCGGATCTCAGGCATGGTGAAGTATTTGCGCTTCTTGATCGCATCGGCAAGAGAACCGTTTTCGCATAGCTCCAAGACAACGTAGGTGCTTGATTCGAAAGAAAAGGCGCGGAAGAACTCGACGATGTTGGGATGAGATAGCTTCGAGTGGATCTGTAGTTCAGTGACAAACTGCGGCGCGTCAGCAAATAACCATGTATTCCTCCCAAGCTTCCAGTACCTTTTGCGCCAGTTTGGGGGGCTCCATTTTGGATTTGACAATTTTCAAAGCGACAGTAGAGCTGCCGAGGTGTTCGTGGCCCAGCAGCTTTGCGCGATGGCAGATCGCGAAGCCGCCTTTGCCCAGCTGCGATCCCGTTTCATATTGGAGTCCCTCGGGGTCCTGAACCACGGCCGGCGGGGCATCTGCGTGTATCGACGAGGCAGACATTGGCGTGGAGGTAGATGGAGAGAGATGATGAAATCGGGGACGAGGTCGCAGAGTGTTGATGGCATGTAAACAAGGGCCCTTAGCGTCGTTGCTAGGGCTGTCGGCCAATCGGTGCCCGGCACAGTCCGCTCGATGCACAGCGACTTGCACAAGCGTGCACTGGAGATCGTGCTTCACGATCCAGTACGAGTTCGACTTAGTCGTGTGCGCTGGCCATGCGTCTCGTCACGTCTCCCGCGTTGTCATGGAGCTGCTGGGCCCGCAGTCAATCGCCATCGCCGTCGGTGGATCTCCGGCAGCGCAAGGCAGCATCGATTTGAACATCGAACCTGCAGCCATGCGCACCACCACGAATAATCCTACACCACTTTGCTATACAGCTGTTCCGATGCGTCTATCTGTATGAAGCCTGCGATGCACAGCCGTCCGCCGGTCGATTGTCTCCATATCTCCCCGCGACCATTCGAAACGCTCTCGTAACCAGACATGTCTCTCACGCTCAAGGTCACATCACTGTTCGTCAGAACGCTTGCGAAGCCTGTAGCAGTATGTTGGTCAGCCCCGGGGATCTTCAGTCATAATTGACACATTCCAGAATGCCATCAAACGCAATGCCCACGAACACGACCGCTTTCGCCGGATATGCGTCAAATTTGCCCAAGGTTTGCATCGCGTCGACATGCGCATGCGCCTCGGCCTCCTCCAGGACCCGGCTGTTATCGACAGACAGATTAAGAAGGAAGTCCAATTAGCAGAGGCTGCGCGGAAAAAAGCAGCCGCCCCAACGGTTCTTACTGAAGAGGAGATGAAGGCGGAGGAGGCGCTCACGGAGAAGGAACGAGACGCTATCAAGAAGAAGACTGAAGAGAGAATCAAGCCCCGTATTCGACCTCTATCTGAACAAAAAGCCATCGAGATGGGCGCCAACTTCGCTGCCGAGACGTTTATATTCGCTGTTGGAATCGCTGTAATTCTTGTTGAGCAATGGCGACAAAGAAGGAAGGCACGCAATGCCAGAGACGATATAAGAGAAGACTTAGAGGAGGTGCAGGCTGAGCTCAAGGCAGTCAAGGCAGAATTTGAGGAGTTCAAGGCGAAGCACCCGGAGCCTGCTTCCTCAAAGATACTAGGGTTCTTCACGGGCAGTGGAAAGAAGGAAGACAAGAAGCCTGAAGCCGTGAGCACCGAAGCGAAGCCAGCATCTGTCGAGGCTCAGCGCGATGCCACCCAAGCGACGAATGCTACATCCGCAACGCACGAGCAGTCGCCAGCCGATAAGCCCTCACAACATAAGGATCTAGGGATGTACACTCGGGAAGCGTAGATATGTACATCTTACGGGCATACATTCTCGAGGCTCGACTCATGGTAACACCATGTCGAAAGTACCATTTGGACACACTCCTCTCATATACCCAACACAATCATAGAAGCATGAAGTTTTCCATTCCCTACAGTGTCGCGATCCCAAAATCCTATGTTTCTAGCTTCGTGTCCTGATTTGACCTTCAGTTTACATCCGCTGGTTGCTCTTTCCGTCGCGACCCACGCACCTTCTACAACAAGAAGCTTAGCTCACAGACACTGACTAGGGCCACATGCAAAAAATACACTCCCTCGATATCTCTGACACACTTAATCATTCTAACACCAGGTCATCCCCAATTGCCTCGGAGATTCACATCTGCTTATCCTCGGTATGGGTCTTCTGTACCACACCAGCGATACTGCGCCTTGTCCCGGTGAGAAGGCACAATCCATCATCCCAGGTGGAGAAAGGCGCCCCATGAACGTTGTCGCCCCTTCTCAACTGGACGGTGGAGCAGACTATTATTCGCGAGCCCCCAACGACAGAACCATTCCCTCTCAGCAAAGTCACTACCCCCAACTCCCTCGCCAAACTCAAAACGCGCTTTCCGTCCCCCCACCGCCGCCTCGTCAACCATCCCGCACCCTTGGCAATGCAGTCAACGACCTAATTCCTTACTGTACAACCGAGCCGCCTCTGAGCCAAGCGCAGGTCATTGCTCTAAGCGACGTTGTGGGTAGTCTAAAGGAACTCGTCGTACTGGCCCTAGGTGCTGCTTCTGGTGTACCGGGAAGTATGGAGATACTGGAAGGTGCGGTGGGTTCGCAGGCCGCAGTGAATATTTTGGAGTTCTTTGCGGACGAATGGGAGATTGAGGGTTGAGAAGATTCATGGATGTGGGGTCAGAAGTGAGGGGATGGTTTGCTGATGCGTGTGGATATAGGGGATGACGAGGGGTCATGTGGGTGCAATGATGAGAAGCACAGGCAATCATGAAGAAGATGTGAGGTGGTGATGGGAAGTTGTATCATTCGCTACCAAGGAAGTAAACTGCGCTCGCTACCAAACCATCTACCGCACCTGCGAAGTATAAAACGCTCGCTCCCTCTTGCCTCCTTGCTGCTCTGCACCTCGAAGTCGAAAACACCGAGGGTGTGTCAGCACATCACCTCGGTCGACGATCGAGAGGAAAGTCAAACGACAACGTAGACCAGTGATGATCAGGGATCGATGTCTTCGTGGTATCGACAAGTGTTCTGAGGTCAAACAAAAGAAATGCAGGATAGCGGTGTCGACCGGTGATGAGGAGAGGTCGATGTCTTCGTGATGTCGACCAGTGTTCTGAGGTCAACGAAAACACGTTCAAACAACACGTCCGACCGATGATGACAAGAGATCGATGTCTTCGCGATGTCGAAATTGCGTTCTGAGGTCAAAGATGCTGCTGGGTATGAAATGCCGATGAGGGTCGAGAGCACAAACCGTATCGTAGCCTATCTCTTGCACGCGGTGTCAGCCGAAGCAAGCAGGGCGATTTTTAGGGTCAGTCCAATAGAGTTTTGTCACCATGGGCCACAGCCTCCGGTAGTCAAACAACCATCTTCGTTCATCACTCCCAACCTGCCTTCAGTGTGTCCGAGTATCTTCATCCAACCCTGTTGTATCCGACGTAACAAAAGGCGGCGATAGCTCGGGAGCACAACGAGGCAGTGGTCGTGACGGGACTCGAAGGATCTCGGCAACGCGGTGTACAGGCTCGACGATGGGTGACAGGTGACAGTCATGTGATCGTGCCTCTTGTTGTCTTAGCGAAGTGCAGAGGTAGTCGTGTCAGCCAGGCCTGAATGGTGGATGGACTGCCGGTGGACGGTGCTGATGAGGGTGTCTTGTTTGAATGATAGATGAGGCTTCAAGTAACTCGAAGGAGATCAAGAGAAGATTGGAAGTAGAAGGGATGCGCCAAAGATGCTCGAGTGAGTTGGGATGAGAGGAAATGGAGGAAGACGGTGGGAGGAGTGGTTTATATACGGACAGAAACCGCTGCGCACTGATGCTTTTCCCCTCCAATGCTTCTTGCCAGTATGCTGCGTCATGGGTGGAATGTAGTAGGGACGTTGACAGAGTTCCGAGGTTCTGCCATAGCAAATGAAGCAGTGACTGGTGGGTGTCGTTGTTCTGGGAGAGAGCTCTCGACAGATCCGGCAGGCTCAGTGCAAAGTCGCGTGGGTTGGGGAACCACCTACCTGGACTCTGCTCTGGCTGCCTCAAGGGCGAAGGGTATCGTTTTGAGGTAACAAGACTGCATACTTTGGCAACGTTTTAAGGCATAAGCGCATGTGTTTAGTAATATTATGTATTACTGTAACGACAAGGTATCATACATTAGCCACTCCATCCTCCGTAAACACAATCATCAAAGCGATGGTATCAAAGTAAGTGCACATCAACACTCCGCCGACTTCCCGTGAACGATCTCGGAAAGCAAGGATGCAAAAGCACTGCGACAGTGCTACGCAATCTACGAGCCCCCAAAGCTGGTGATGTTGATCCCAATATCAGCCAATGCCGGTCCGACGTCGAGATTCAGGTTGATCGTATTGCTCTTGATCGCATCTTCGTAGTAGGTCAAGTGCTGACCATCCTTGATACTCGAGTTGCCCACAATCTCAAGCGGCAGCACAGCATCATTGTACTTGTTCTGGATGAGGCCCAAGATAGCGAGCTGGTCGACGTGGCTTTGCAGAGGGAATACGTTGTCACCGGGCTTGAGGTAAAGGTCTGGAATGAGTGCGTAGCCAATTGCGGTGCCGTCGACGGCTAGGTTCATGGTGATGTTGCCTAGGTCGAGGGTCATGACAGAGGGGTTGGGAATGCTGACGTTGGCAAGGAGGTTGGAGCCATCGGAAAGGATCTCGTCTGTGCCAGAGAGAATGCGCACGTCGCTGATGTTGAGTCCGGAGAGCTTATTTAGTCCTGCAAACACGATTAGACTAGTCCTTACTGTAGCTTCAATGAGACATACCTTTCATCGTAATGACTTTGTTGTAATCGACGTCCATGGTAGGCAGGCCAGAGAGGTGAATGTTGGTCTTGCCGTCAAGGTGAATTTGGAGTGTCTCGCTGTCAAGCACAGCCTTGGTATAACTGGAGAACTCGACATCACTCGCGAAAATGACATCTTGGTCGACGGTGACGCGGGTCTCTGCCTCAGACTTCGCTTCAGGTATAGTGATGTAGATGAAAGGGTCTTGTCCTGGTAGCGATAGTCCTGCTTTGAAGCTATCAATCTTAGGGTGATAACTGCTGCCACTCCTGATGACTGTATCAATCTTCAGGTGGACACCATTCGGCTGCGGGTTGGTAACTTCCTGAGCAGTAACTTCGAGTGTCGAGGAGTTGATCTCGTGCTGTGCCTTATTTGGTATGCCAACAAATATGATTGGCAGAACAATGACCAACACGATGATCACGAGGACCAGGCAATCTGACGTAATGTAAACACGAAGTACGTTGAGGCTGTCGGGAGAGACTTACCACACCACCAAAACTTTCTGCAGTGGTTCTTCATACGCCCTTTGGCGCCTGGCGTGGGCCCTGGCGGGTATAGCTTATTCATAACGCCGCCTTTCTTCTGGGGCGTTGTGTACACATCGTCCGCCCGTGTCGCTCCGCCGTCTTTGCTCTCCATATTGACGGTCTTGTGTGAAGTGTAAAGAAGTTGTTGTGTACAGTTCGATCACTCTGTCGCCCACCGGTTGATGGCGATTCAGAGCGACTGTGGGTTCTTCAGGGGACAGACCCGCAGGGTGTCGCACGCGAATTAAGTAGAAATAAGAAAATACACCAAGACTTCCAAGGACGGTATGAACGCGGAGGTACGCGGGGAACGCACACCTTGTGGATGTCAAAAGCTGGGGAATGTGTAGGAGACTGGCACATGCGCGAAAATGACCGAGACCCCTCTTACGCCAAATACCAATTGGCTGTGCACCGATGGCAAGGCGAATGTCAAAAAGGGTACGATCAGTGACAGGCCTCTTAGCGATTTTCATGAAGATGACGGGTTGCCCGAGAAAGTAGCCTGTTGCGGATACGCTCCGAAGCACTCACCACCTATCCGGTCGCATTACGAAGCCGAGGCAGCGCAGGCAATTGAAGGATCAACTGGCACATGCGTGAGGGATGTCTGAAGAATGCGGCCACATTTTGTAACCTAGGGCGCCGAAGAGCCGTAAGTGGATAGGTCTGCATGAAGCTCCAAGCTGCTCGGCAATGTCCGTCTATCTGGATTGGCTCGTCCTACTACAACCAGAGGCGAAAAGGCGTTGACTCGAGTGACACGCGATCATATTGAACAGCCCGAGCAGTGCGAGGGATCGTTGTTGACCCCAGACGGTAGCGCGGGTCCTGCACCTTTTGAGGTTAGAGGTGGAGAAACCCCCTGAAGCGGCAACCAATGTAAGCCAATGCTTGTCGGTGGTCGATCTGAATTCGGGAGACGCGCCTCTTTGTTGCAGTGAGGAAATAATCTAAAGCCGTCTAAATCAGCAGGTGAGCAGAGGCTTATTGCCTCAGGTAAGAGAATCACCAACCCCCTCATTCACATGAAGGCGAAAAGCCGAAATCATGGGCTCAGCCGAATTAACCCCAACACCCAGCAAGGGGCTGCATCTCTGCATCTTGATATACACACTAGGACAAAGCATACAAGCAGATGGATCCGTCGCACTGAAAGTCGTCTAAATCAACATCGAGCAGGGGTTGCCTTGGCATCCGAAACACCCGCCATCTGCGGTTCATGGCGTGTTCAATTCGATTTGTGTGGCACTCAGGGCCGGCCCAGCCCTTCTCCCCAAGGAACGTAGGTGGCGGAAGTCGTTGTTCGAGCCTCCCGGGTCTACGGTTGGAGACGAGATCGTTTGGAAGGCCTAATATGCACCCAGGTCGTTTGGGAGGCCTAATGTGCACCCGCGATAGAATGCGCGATGCGTCACTATAGCGCTGATTGAGGGCCGATGGCATTTAGCAGGCTGGGCGAGGAGATGTGGTCGAAAGAAGACTCTGGGGGATCGCCTGCCCTGACATATGCCAAGGGAACGCTACGAAGGTGGGTCGCTGCCGCTGCGGGCGGTCCTGCAAGTTGAGGCGCCCGAGTCGACAACACAATTTTTAGAGCATTCACAACTCACTAGCACAAGATGGCGCAATCGGACGAGGAGGATGACTACATGAATATGGTGTTTGAGGATGCGCCAAAGGGGCCAAAGTATGAGACTTCCCTCCAGCGCGCCGCGCGCAAGCGCAAAGAGGTGCGTTGAGTGTAATCGCCAATTCTCGCCAGACTGACACATTGACAGGGCGAAGCCAAAGCGCGACAGAAGACCAAAGCCGAACGAGAAGAAGAGGCCGAAGCTGCACGAGAAGCTGCCCTCGCCACTGCTCTACCTGAGACCAACAAGGGATTCAAGATGATGGCCAAATTCGGATTCAAGCAGGGCGATGCTCTCGGCAAATCTGAAGACGCGCGCAAAGAGCCTATACGAGTCAACCCCAAAGACGACAGAGGAGGCATTGGTCTTGAGTCGGAAAAGAAGCGCAAGTTCAGAGAACAGTTCGAGGAAGCAGATCGACTGGCAAAGCGCGCAAAGGAAGAAGAGGGTGATTACCTAGAGATAATGCGCCAAGAACAGAAAGAGAAGAAGGCCGAACGGGATTTGGACAGCGCACAGAGGACAGCCGAGCGCTTGTCTGACAAGAAGGCCGAAGAAAAAGGCGCGCCAGACACGAGCGAGAAACCACTGAAGGACATCAACGTCCTTTGGCGTGTTCGTGCGCGGCGCAGGGTCGAGAAGAACCGCGACAAGCAGCAACGACGAGAACTGAATAATAGCATTTCGTCGCGATTACCCACGCTAGCCCCTGAAGACGATGACGACGATTCGAAGATAGCCCAAGGCCGAGATCTTGCGCCGTTCTACACCACACTTGAGAACGAGCTCGAGGATGAAGATCCAGAGCTGGCAGAATTTGAGGCCTTGCCCGTGGCAGAGCGGTTACAGAAGCTTCTGGTATTCCTTCGCGAAGAGTACCATTACTGTCTATACTGTGGATACGAATACCCTGATGCCGACATGGAAGGATGTCCCGGAGTGACTGAGGAGGAGCACGATAGAGAGACCTAAATCTTCACTACATGAAGATATCTCGATAACGCAAGCTACGAGCAGGAATTCTGCTACGCTCTTAGCCTACAATAGGTGATATCACGGCTGGACACATGAGACCGGCGTAATGCTCGGCTCGTACCCCATTGTCTGGCTTTGCAGCTTTAGGTCGCGGTCACAACATGGCAACGGTCTCGAAAAGTCATAATCGCTGGTGAGAATCTAGTGAATCAATGAATCCAGTTCTTTCTGGCTGAAGATGTCTATCCATAACCATTCGAAGGTAAGGTAGCTTCAAAGTACTTTCTACACTCCCAATAGCTATCGATTATCAATAAGATGGACAAGAGGAACGCACAAGGTGAAAATCGTACAATACATCCGTAGGCAAACCAGTGCAGATAAACTGCAATTGAACAGAATTCTCGGATGTCATAACTCTATCACTCTTAACACAATATCGTCCACTACACATGCTGGTATTCGGGGTTGTCCCTGAAACAGCCTCGTGAGCTTTGACCAAATCACCAAGTCCCGTGCTCACGCGCTTCGCGATCCATCGCGCCTGCCCCTAGCCCTTGCCCATCAACAACATCAGACAAGTAGACAAGCCATCCCGCCTGCAACAATTGAAGATGGAGCATCAGAAAAGCTACGTATATGAGCCACCTTCGACAGAAGAGCGGGCGCCAAAGCGACAAAGAACCGGCAAATTCGACCCGCAGGCGCAACTACCAGAACGGCTAGCCAGGTATCGGGAGTTGTGGGCACAGCAAGACGAGCGCATTCAAGTGAGTGATCCGAATAGTGACACGCGTTAAATGGCTGCTAATATGAGCAGAGTACTTTGGAAGGGGCAGATAGCGCCACCCAGGAAAAGATTGTCAACTTCATCTCCGCTTCCAGCGCATCGCCAGATGAGCCCAAGTTTGCCATACCAACAGCGCTCATCGTTGCTGGTCCTAGCATTGCATCCCATGGACCTTTTTTCCAGCGTTTGGGTCGGGGCATCAGAGCTGAAAATTGCGCATACACTGTGCTAACGTCCAGCGAATGTCCAAATTTGAAGACGCTGCTGAAAACGCTCATCAAGACGGTTACTTCGCGCGTGGACGAGGATGAGGATGATGTAGACCGTCCAGCTACGTCTTCGAGACATGGTCCAAAGTTACTTAACTACGATCTTGGCCATGTTCAGGAATGGCAAAAGAAGAATCGCGCTTCTAGCATCGTTGTCGCTTTGCAGGATAGTGAGGCTTTCGACGTCGCACTACTCGTCGATGTAGTTGATCTTCTTCAGTACGTCTGATCATATCTAGCGATGGCCCATGCTAATTTATACAGCTCATGGCTCGATCGTCTACCTTTTGTTCTACTCTTTGGCATTGCTACTTCGGCAGAGAGCTTCGAGGAGCGTCTGGCAGGCAATTCACTCCGCTACCTTGAAGGCCAGAAGTTTGACGTTACCCAATCTGATGAGATCATCGAGAAGCTGTTTCGCGCGACGGTTGCCAGCACAGATTCTCGACTTCACATTGGACCCAACCTCTGTCGACGTATGTTGGATCGACAGAAAGATCATGTTCAGAACACACAAGATTTCTGTGATGGGCTGAAGTACGCTTACATGTCGCACTTTTATGCCAGCGTGCCCAGCATCTTCCTTACAAATGATGTTGCCTCTGGAGACCTGTCAGCGGATGCGTTCGAAGCTGTTCGCACTCTGCCCTCGTTTCGTCGTTGGGTTGAGAGTATGTTAGAGGCTGGTCAGGCACAAGATGTACGAAGGGTACTGGAAGATAACAAATACCTGTTCGACCAGATTGCACATCATCTGCAATCTGGCCAACGCGCCATGATATCATTGAGCCACGCTGCAGAAGTACTAGCGAACATCCGCGAGTCGCTTCAGATGTCACCCAGCGTCCGGCTTTCATCTATCTGGACCCGAGCAGCAGCTGGCGAGCTAGCTGGGTCGCCCCTGATCCGCGAAACAATGTTATCCATCAAGAAGATTCCATCCGACAGACTGGTACATTTGCTAGCATCGCTACGAGATCTTGAAGACGACAACCTCTCGTTGGGCATTGCTTCAGCTCAGCAGACGCTCGACACCCTGCTACAAAACGCCGATGCACCACTCCGAACGCAGCACGATGTCCGCAACGACAGTGTACGAACCACCGTCGTGGCACAAAAAGTACTTCTGAGCAAGCACAAAGCTGCCCTGTCCGAGCAAGACAAGGCATACTCAGACCTGGTTACGGAATTCCACGACAAGCTCGAGGCGTATTTCACCTCCTCGTTCATCGACCCGAAGACGTTGACTCTGAATGAGCTCTTCATATACGACCTAAAGTCACCACACACAGAGGTCTTCCAACCCAAGCCGCGCTTTGCTGTTGAGCGTGCACTAGCTTCACCTCACGACTATCTGGGCTGCGAATGCTGTAGTGGAGTCGATGGAAACCCGGCAGCTCTTTCTGCAACACAACCCGCAACAGCCATTGTGTATCAGATGTACCTCGAGTCCGGCACGTTGATTAATGTCACCGATTTGTGGTCGGCGTTCAACGCCATTGCAGGAGACGGAACAGAAGAGAATGAGCCCAACACCATGTAAGTCTGCACCTGCATATCATAGTCATGGTATACTAATCCGTCACAGGGCACTATTCCAGCGAGCACTAGCCGAACTGAGATACCTCGGCCTCGTCAAACCCAGTCGAAAGAAGACAGACCACATTTCAAAGATCATGTGGAAAGGACTTTGAACCTTGTTCCCTTCTTCATTGCAGCCACCGTACATAGAATACATATCATACACCCCATGTCCATCCCAATTAAGCCTTCTTCGGCTGCGGCGCAGTATCACAAACCGTCCCACAACTCCTACACGTCCTCTTCTCCGTATCCGCTTTAAAAGCATTCACCGCATCCTTAATCTGCGTGCCCAAATCCGTACAATAAAACGCCGCCTCATACACCTTATCCCCGCAGTTCTGACAATACCACCTCAGGCGGTCCAAACTGCCCTCCGGCCTCTTCTGCTCCAACACCACGCCCACGGTATCCTTGAAGCGCACGGGGTTATGCGGCGTGTTTGGCGGAAGTAAGAACATGTCGCCTTCGTTGATGTGGATGTCTTTGAATTGCTGGCCTGGTGGGAGGGTCGTGTCGACGACTTTGAGTAGCATGCCGCCTTTGTGTTGGTAGAACCATTCTGCGGTTTCGTTGATGTGGTAGTCGGTTCGTTCGTTGGGGCCGCCGACTATCATTACGGTTACGGCGTCGTTGTAGACGCAGTAGTTGTTTATCGGCGGTTTGAGCATGTGCGCGTTCTCCGAAACCCTGCGTGCGAGGTTTGTTAGTTGGGTTTGTTTGAGGCAGGACGGGATGGGAGCAGCTGAGAGGAGCTGGGGTGGTATATGTATGTATCTTACCATTTTGGTATGTTCAATGGTGGACCTAGTTGTCGGTGCGGTTGCGATTGCGAGAAGTGGCGCTGTGGGAGTGTTACGGAAGCTCGCGGTGTTGATCGCGAAGCGCGTTGCGCGAGCCTGATGGCCGGCCGTAATGATCGCGTCGTGTTCATGCTGGATTGATGTGTACGTCAAAAGAGAACCTCGTTCCTCAAGTCAGCGCGACGAGTTTGTTTGGTCTGCTTTGAAATGTAAAGTCGACGATGTAATCATCAAGGGTCCAGCACAAGTGGGGAGCTTCTCGCCCCGCGGAACCGCGGCTCGTGCGTGCATTTGTCGATCACTGGTGCGACGCGTGCCATCACATGCAGCTCTTCGACCCGCCTATCTCGAGACACGAGCATAGCTTCCCCATCCCCTCCGCAGCATCCAACAACAACCACACCAACCGACCTCGAAAGCAAAACACAACATGGGCATGGATCACTCGCACATGAACCACGGCCACATGGGCCACGACATGCCCGGCATGGGCGGCGACGGACCCAAGTGCAACATGAACGTATGGTGATGCACCTCCTAGTATCGGACGATACGCTGACATGTCACTCGAATAGATGCTGTTCACCTGGGACACGACCGATCTCTGCATCGTCTTCCCCTCATGGCACATCTCCGGCACGACCTCGCTCGTCTTCTCGCTCCTCGCCGTCGTCCTCATGACCGCCGGCTACGAAGCCATCCGAGAGATCTCGCGACGATACGAAGCCTACTCCAAAGGCGTCATGGAGGGACCTAGAGGTGAGTCTACCTCTTTCATACACACATACACAACCGGAGTAGTAGTAGCAAGTACAACTACGAGAAGAGGCAAGGTCGTAGAAGTAGGAGACTAGGGAGGTCTCTTTTCTTCTATCTTCAATCAACCACAACTTCTTGGGGAACACTCGCTGAGTTTAACCTTTTCGTCGCCGTGTAAAGACGATGCAGATGAATCTAGCTCATTACTTGGATCAGGGAGAAACGGTGGTGTGGGGCGCAGTGCCGAGCAGCAGATGAAGATTATCAAGGCTGTTTTGTATGCTGTGCAGGTGTTTTACTCCTTCTTCATCATGTAAGTTCATCCTGGTGGGACTGGGTTTGGAGATTGGGGCTGATGTGTGTAGGCTACTTTTCATGACGTACAACGGTTGGGTTATGCTTGCTGTTGCTGTGGGTGCTTTCGTTGGATACTTGATGTTCAGCCAGTCTTCGTCGACAAAGTCGGTGGCATGCCATTGAGTGGTGTACACGGGTGAATTAGCTGTATGTGAGAGGAGGACTGGAGAACAAGAGGGGACGAGGCCTACAGATGGTCTGCCCTCCACCAACGAGGTGCACATTGACATATCCTGCGATATCCGGGCCTAGTACCCTGTAGCTCCGATACATCGGACGCGCCGTTAAGCCCAACTTTGCAGCGCCAACCCGGTAGATAATTGAGTGCGAATGAGCAGCTGGCAATATATTGTATAACGGATGTCTTGTTCGGTCCTCAACGTCGACTCGCGCGAGATGTACCGAGATGCACCTGGTCGCATCGGCAACAGCTACCCCGAGAAATATAAATCCGAGCAGTTCCAAGGTTTGACCACGATTGATCTTGAATGCAGAGTCTTATACCTTGACATCGGAGCAGCGTGGGAAGTCGGTGTAAGATGATGCTCTGACATGGTTTTGGAGCGAGAGTCAATTCCGAAGACGGCAATATCGCCCGCTGACTGTCGCCGTCGTGCGAGCAAAGACCGATCGGGCTATGATGCCTGGGCGGGATGATTTGCCATAACGAGCATCGTGGAGCTGGACCATCAACGAACATTGCAAGAGTTAAGACGAAGAAGAAGTCGCGCAGCAAATGTATTGCGTCTTCGATGTTCGAGATTTACGATTGTGGCTAGGCAGGCTTAGCATCAGGCGTGGACATGTGCTCTAGCCTTCACATGCCAACGGCGAGTTCCACGGTTGCGCGTTCCCACGCGTGACTTGCCCCAGGTTTCCCAGCAAGCCCCAACTCCTCGGCGTTCCGTCCGACGGAGAGGTCAGCCAACCGCCAACCGCCAACCACGCTGCGCATACCCAAGTCATGTGGGCGCTGACGGCGACGAGCGTCTTCACATGCAACAGCTGGACCGTTGCTCAATATTCACATCAGCAGCGCAGCGCAGGCCGGGCTTGGTGATGCTCACACATTGCCAGCAGACAAACCGCCGCCGCGTGATTGGCCCGCGCGGCGACAACCTTGGAAGTGCATGCGGGTTAGCGCATTCTCCACTTCCGAGGCACAAGTTGCGCTTCAAGTGCTAGACGGAAGCCGAGCAGCCATCCGTTGCATCCATACAAAGCAGAAGCCGATCCCCAGACTTTTCGCCTTCATCTGCTCTCTCTCCATACCCCGTCTTTTCTCCCCTTCCCTCTTCAACCGCATCCACCACTATGCCTGAGAGAGTCATTGTTGTTGGCGCTGGCCGTAAGCATCACCGCATCATACACCGTCACGCGCATGGCTAACCACGACGGCAGTGTCCGGCTTGAGCGCTGCTCACACCATCTACCTCGCTGGTGGAAATGTTGTTCTCCTCGACAAGAACAACTTCATGGGAGGCAACTCTACGAAGGCCACATCGGGAATCAACGGTGCTCTTACAAGGACGCAAGTCGACGAGAAGATCGGCGACAGCGTCAAGCAGTTCTACGATGACACACTCAAGTCTGCGCGAGACAAGGCGCGGCCAGACCTGATCAAGGTCCTGACCTACAAGTCCGCTGCTGCCGTCGAGTGGCTGATGGACGTCTTCAACCTAGACCTCACTCTCGTCTCGCGATTGGGGTACGTCCGACAATATTCCCGAATCTGACACATGTACTGACTTTGACAGCGGTCACTCCCAACCCCGTACCCACCGTGGCCACGATGCCAAATTCCCCGGTATGGCCATCACATACGCTCTGATGCAACGATTCGAGGAGTTGGCCGAACAGGAGCCAGAGCGCGTCCAGCTCGTCAAGAAGGCCAAGGTCTCCAAGATCAACACAGAGGGCAACCGTGCCACCGGTGTCACATACTCATTCGGCGGCGAGGAGACGACACTCGAGGGACCCGTCATTCTGGCGACTGGTGGTTACGCCGCCGACTTCACAGAGGACTCTCTTCTGAAGAAGTGGAGGCCAGACACCTACGACCTCTCCACCACCAACGGTGCTCACGCTACCGGTGACGGACACAAGATGCTGATGAAGATTGGTGCCAACGGCATCGACATGGACAAGGTCCAAGTGCACCCTACCGGTCTTGTCGACCCCAAGGACCCTACAGCGAAGACCAAGTTCTTGGCCGCCGAAGGTACGTGCATCACCGACATATATCTTTCTCATGCTAACAGTCTCTAGCTCTCCGTGGTGAGGGTGGTATCCTTCTCAACAACAAGGGCAAGCGCTTCTGCGACGACCTCGGTCACCGCGACTACGTCTCCGGCATGATGTGGACTGAGAAGGAGAAGGGCAACTGGCCCATTCGCCTCGTCCTCAACTCCAAGGCATCCAACGTCCTCGACTTCCACACAAGACATTACTCCGGCCGTGGCCTGATGAAGAAGATGACTGGTGCGGAGCTCGCCAAGGAGATTGGTGTCAGCGACAAGGACCTCCAGGCCGAGTTCCAAAGCTACAACGCCATTGCTAAGGGCGAGAAGAAGGATGAGTGGAACAAGAAGTACTTCCACAACCTGCCCTTCGACATCAACGACACCTTCCACGTTGCGCAGATGGAGCCTGTTCTCCATTTCACCATGGGTGGTATCGAGATCAACGACCAAGCACAGTGCTTGAACTCCGACGGCAAGCCGTTCGACGGTCTGTACGTCTGCGGTGAGCTTGCTGGTGGTGTCCACGGTGCCAACCGTCTCGGTGGTTCATCACTTCTTGGCTGTGTCGTCTACGGTCGTGTAGCAGGAGAGTCTGCTTCCAAGTACCTTTTCCAACAAGCGCTTAACAAGTCTGGTGGTGCCGCTGTCAACCGTCTCGGTCAGATCTCGCTGCACATCGACCCATCGCAACCGGGCAAGGTCTCCGTCGAGTGGGGCAACGGTGTCAGCGGAAACGCTCAAGCCAGCTCTTCATCAGACCCCGTTGAGCAACAAAAGCAGCTGTCTTCCGCACCTGTCATGTCGTCAAACGGCGACTCCAACGACCCAGGAAAGGTTTCCAAGCCTAACGCACCCAAGAAGTTCAGCATTCCAGACAAGGAGTTCTCGCTCGAGGAGGTTGCAAAGCACAACAAGAAGGATGATTTATGGATTGCAGTAAAGGGCATTGTCATGGATGTCACCAACTGGACAGATGAGCACCCAGGAGGTCCTCAGGCGCTCTTCAGCCACATGGGCAAGGACGCGTCAGAGGAATTTGAGATGCTTCACGACGATGAGGTTATCCCCAAGTACGCCCCCGAGATCGTTATCGGTCGGGTCAAGGGTCAAGAGGTGACACTTGAGTACTAAAGGGAGGGAAAATGTTGTTTGTACTTTTAGCATGTTCGAAATGATATCACTTGCATATTTCAGATGAAAGTTCCATTGGCGTACTCCTGTGATGTTTGTACCATTTATGCATTCACCTGGTTAGCAGGGTTACACTGCAGAGAGTCGAGCCCCTCGTGCCATGGTAGCGGCGGCAGATCAGCCTTGGATCAGCCTCGGACCCTGGGCCGCATTTTCCCCAGACCATGAACACGCCGCAACCCGTCCCCCTTTGAGCATTACGCAGGCGACATGCTCACGACTGCGTAACGTTTCCCCTCACGTGCATCCTTCCTCAAAAATGCTGCGCCAGCAACTCCTTCATTCCTTTGACAGACAATGACCACTTACGACGAGTATGGCATTCCCGTCGGCGCATACTCAGAACCCGAGAGCTTGACACACCAAGCATGGCGGTTGGGCAGAGCCTTCTTTCTATATCGCATACGACCTGCTGTGCAGGGAAAGAGAAATGAGCTGCGAAGTGGGAATTGGAGCTTTAAGCGGCTCTTTACCCTCGTGAACGGGCTGGTGCTGCTGTGGTGGGTGGTTCTGTACTGGGGCGAGAGAGGTATCTTCAACAGCGCCGTCGAGAGCTGCCACTGGGACAAGTGGGAGGACTGGGTACGTCTATATCTCGCAATATTTACTAGACTATGCAAAATTAATCGCAACTTTAGGAAACCGGCGCAAACCCTCACAGACTCATCTTCGTCGCCGATCCGCAACTCATAGATCCGCACACCTACCCCGGCCGCCCGTGGCCCCTCAATCCTCTAGCCTACAAATACACCGATCTGTACCTCCGTCGCACCTATTCTCGCTTCCAGACCGTCCTATACCCCGACACTATCTTCTTCCTCGGCGATCTCTTCGACGGTGGCCGCGAATGGTCTACGCGCACAACTACCTCGCCGGAGAAGCAGTACCGCAAATATGGCGACGACTTTTGGATGAACGAGTACAGAAGATTCGGGAACATCTTCTTCAAGCACTGGGGTGATGGCGGCATGCAGGCGAGACCAGGACAGCCTGGACGGAAGCTCATAAGCAGTCTACCTGGTAACCATGACCTGGGATTTGCCAAAGGAGTACAAGAAGGCGTCCGAAACCGATTTGAAGCCTACTTTGGCGACGGCAACCGAATCGACGTCATCGCAAACCACACCTTCGTCTCAATCGACAGCGTCTCCCTGAGCGCATTCGGCCAGGAATCTCCCGAACAAGTCGAAAAGATATGGCGCCCTACGAAAGAATTCCTCTCCGACGCAAAGAAGCGCAAAAAGCGCCTCATCCAACGCGAACTACGAGCGCAACAGGGCCTGCGACCCTATCCAGGCATGCCACACCACGCAATCTCCGCGCAAGACCTCGCAACCTCCCCCCTCCCCCACGCCAACGACGACATCACCGAATTTCCCACCATTCTCCTAACCCACGTGCCCCTCTACCGCGCCCCAGGCACACCCTGCGGCCCCCTCCGCGAACACTGGCCCCCGACGCCTCCCCCACCGGGCCAACCTCCCCTCGACCACGACGACCGAAACGCCATATCTGTCCGCGGCGGCTACCAATACCAAAACGTGCTCAACCGCGAGATCACCGCTGATATCGCTGAGAAGGTCGGTGATATCCGGTATGCTTTCTCAGGCGACGACCACGACTACTGCGAGTTGGTGCATAAAGCGTATACCAGTGCTGGCGGCGGCATACGCGAGATCACGGTCAAAAGCATTAGCTGGGCTATGGGCGTCAGGCTTCCCGGTGTTGTGCTGGTTAGTCTGTGGAATCCAGTTGATACGCTTGGGAAGCCGTTGAATGGGGGGGGTGCGAGTAAGACGATTCAAACGAAGTTGTGTCTGCTGCCTGACCAGATTGGCACGTTTCTGAGATACGGAAGTCTGTTCGGACTAACGCTGTTGCTGCTGTTCGTTCGCGCGGCGGGCGTTATGCTAGGCGTTGTCTCGAATGGCGAGGACGAAAAGGTGGAAAGTCCGTTATTGCCTACCACCAACACTCCCGCTACTACCTTGGAAAAGGAATCCCATTCCTCCAACTCATCGACTAGCTCGGAACGAAACGGCAATCTATCCGCTCGAGCGACGACTCAAGCACGAACCCAACAGCAACAGCAGCAACAGTCGAAATACCAACTCCCATTGATCCAACACGCCGGCTACGATCCCGCCAAAGACTTCGACATCGACGACGATGCGGGAGATAAGAAGGTCAGAGTCTACGGCGCGAGTACCAAAGTATCCAAGAAGCCGCGGAAACGGAGAAAGGGATTGGCACTGTTTTGGTGGGAACTCAGGACGAGTTTGAGGACGGTGGTAGTGCTGGGGGGCGTGTGGTATGTGTTTTTGGTGTGGAGGGGGTGAGAGGTGTAGTTTGTTGTTTGTTGCTTTCTATAGAATCAACTACGTCAAATCTAAGAAAAGATTAAACACTGTAGAGCCTACGTTAATGTAGAACTACGTTGACCTGAGAAAGAAATAAACAATATAGAGCCTACATCGACTTTAAGCTACCTACTTTGCACGTTTTTATTTTAATGTAGTCTGCAGACCTATTCAAAGACTTCTCTTGTGCAAGGTGGAACTCTTATTGTCAACTCCAAACTGGATTTTTGGCTTGAAGTGCAAAGTGATGAAGTGCCACAATGTGAAATCAAGTACATGCTTGACTTGACTGTCAGAACAGGGAGACTCAGTCTATTCGAAGCAAGCAGTACAAGTCATACACATGCATTGATCTTCGTAACGTCTAAACTTCATGCCTTCTCACAGTACTGCGACTGGATCATACACGCACCATCACAGTCCAACCGAACGACCTTAGAGCTTAAGACTCTCAATGAACTTCGTCGCCTCCGCAACACCCTCATCAACCTTATCCGCATTCGTACCCTGGCCAATCGCAGTAGGAGCGCCCGGCTTGCCACCCGCCTTACCACCGATAATGGGAGTAACAGCAGCGGCCCATTTGGGTCCGTCGGCGCCTGCGTTCTTGAACGGCTGTGTTGTATATGTCAGCAATCGTTGTCAAAGGAAAAGGAGAAAGAGAATAGAAGAAGGGGACGACATACCTCACTAACATAACACCCATGCACAACCTTACCCTCCTCGGGCGAAGCAGAGAAAAGATACAAACTCCGATCCTTGAGTGCACTCTTCGGACCAGAGACAGTCTTGATAGCCTCGCTGATAGCCTTGTTAACCGTGCTCGACCACTCCAGCTTCTTCACCATGAACTTCTTGCTGTCGTCCTCGAAGAACTTGGTCACTTCATCGAGCACACGCTTGTTATCAGCCTTCGCAGCAGTTTTCTGCTCGTCCAGAATGCTCTTTTGGATCTTGGCGAACTCCTCGCGCAGCTTGGTCTTTGCTATGGCAGAGATGGTCAGGTTGTTGAGGTCGACGCCGATTTTCTTCGCTTCGGCTTCCTTGGCGGGACCAAAAGCCATCTTGCCCATGGCTTGGACGCGTTCTTGGAATTCGCGCGCGATGCGTTGGACGTTGTAGGCTTCTTGGCCGGTTACCGCGACGATACGGCGGATGCCCTTGGCGATGCCGGATTCCTCGAGGATGACGAGTTCTTTGATCTCGCCTGTCTTGAGGACGTGGGTGCCGCCGCAGAATTCGATGGAGAGCTTTTCCCACTTCTCGTTCTTGACGTCGCTGAGGAGCTCTTCGACTGGGACACCGACGGAGACGACGCGGACGGGGTCGGGGTAGGTCTCGCCGAAGACGGCTCGGACACCACGGATCTCTTTTGCAGATGCGAGTGGTACTTCTTTGGCGTAGACTTGTGAATCCTGCTTGATGTACTCGGAGGATATCTTCTCGACCTTGTCTAGCTCCGCATCTGACAGACCAGCCTTGTGCGAGAAGTCGAAACGCAGCTTCTCTGGTGCGACTAGAGAACCCTTCTGGTCGACCTCGTTACCAAGGACTTCCCGAAGAGCGTAATTGAGAACGTGAGTACCGGTGTGGTTGTTGCGGATGGGATGTCTCCTGAGCTCGTCGAACTCTGCAATAACCTCGCTGCCTACGCTCAACTCGCCGTACTTGATGTATCCAGTGTGCAACACGTAGCCGGCATATACCTGCACGTTCTCGATACTGATCTCGGCCTCGCCATCTACAAGTAACCTTCCAGTATCGAATTCTTGACCACCCTGCTCGGCGTAGAAGTTTGTCTTGTCAAGCAAGACACCGAACTGCTCGCCTTCCGGTACCTCTTTAGTGCTCTTGAGGAACTTCTTGTTGTGATATATCGCCTTGATGGCAGCGGTGATGTTTTCGCGGCCAAACTTGGCGGAGTCGTCGGTCTTTGGGACTTCGGGCATATTCTCCAGCGCACCAAGGTCGTGTACGTCGAACTTGACGACTACGGCACCAGCCTTCTTATCTCCCTTGCTAGCTTCGCGAGCCTTTTCTTGTGCGGCCTCAACCTCCTCGTCCTTGATCTTCAAGCCGCGCTCTTCAGCCATTAGCTTCGTCAGATCAACAGGGAAACCGTAGGTGTCGTATAACCGCCAAACATCGTCTCCTGGCAGCTCATCCGAGCCCTTGACCTTGGCCTTTTGCGCGTACTTTTCGAAGATGACCTCGCCGCGATCTAACGACTTGGCGAATGCCTTCTCTTCCTCATCCAGAATCTCCATGATGTCTTGTTGCTTCTTCTTGATCTCGGGGAACATGTCGCCCATCTGTTCAACCAGCGTAGGTACGATCTTGGAGAAGAAGTCGCCGATTTCCGTCTCGAAGTATTTGCGCGCGTATCGTGCACCTCTCCGAAGCACTCGGCGGACGACGTATCCCCGACCGACGTTGTTCGGTACACCACCGTCGGCAATGGCAAAGCTCATCATGCGAACGTGGTCCGCGACGACGCGGTATGCAGTGTCGATACCATCTGGGTCCTGGTCCCCAAAGTTGCCCCTGTATTCCCGCGCTCCAGTAATCTCCTGTATCCTCTTGAACAGTGGTGTGAAGACGTCGGTGTCGTAGTTGGACTTCTTGTGCTGCAGCACTGAGACCAATCGCTCGTATCCCATACCGGTATCGATGTGCTTGTTCGGTAGCGGTCGTAGTGATCGGTCGGGCTCGCGGTTGTACTGCATGAAGACGTTGTTCCAGATCTCGATGACCTCGGGGTCGTCCATGTTGACGAGCGACGCAGCGTTCCTGTACTCCCCGTTGACTGGCTCCCTCAAATCGTAGTGTACCTCGGAGCAAGGTCCACATGGGCCCTGATCACCCATCTCCCAGAAGTTGTCTTTCATGTCACCAGGCAGGATGTGGTCTTCCGGTACACCCACGCTCTTCCACAGCTCCTTGGCTTCCAGATCCGGCTCCAGCTCACCTGGCACGCCCTCAAAGTATGTGACGTATAACCTCTTGGGATCTATGCCGTAGACCTTTGTGAGCAGCTCCCAGGTGAAGCCTACCGCCTCCGTCTTGAAGTAGTCGCCGAAACTCCAGTTGCCCAGCATCTCGAAAAAGGTGTGGTGATAACTGTCCTTGCCCACATCGTCGAGGTCATTGTGCTTTCCACCGGCGCGGATGCACTTTTGCGAGTTGGCGGCGCGCTTGAGCTGTGCGAAGTCGGACGAGGGGTCGACGGTGCCTTGGAAGATGGCCTTGTACTGGTTCATGCCCGCATTGGTGAAGAGGAGGGTGGGGTCGGAGAGGGGCACGACGGATGAGGAAGGCACTGTTTGCTGTCAATTGACTTTCTTGAACATGGTGGACTCATAGCATCAAGAGATGTCGACTCTCGGGCACTGAGACGGAAACGCACCAAACGTGTGTCCGCGCTCCTTGAAGTAGTCCAGAAAAGTCTGGCGCACGCGGACGGCGCCCCATTCGTGCTTCTCTTCAACGAGCGACATGTTTGCGGCCGGCGCGTTGCCGTGGGGGAGGGGCAGGTCGAGAAGGCGTGTGCAGGTGAAGAGTCTCGGCGAACGAGGAAGGTGGGAGTGACGGGTCGCAAGCAAGGGCAGGCGTCTAACCGTATGGTGACTCAGAGGGGCAGCTCGCGTTGGTAGCAGCATTCACGAAAACATGTGGGCAGGGTGCGGGCGCCGAGAGCTGCAGCAGCAAACTGCGGGGCTGTCCTGTCGATGGCGGGCCCAGGAGCTTCGGAGGACCGACATGGCGCGCCTCAGCCCTTCTGGAAGCTTCACGTAAGTGCGCCTAGACGACCACGCTCCCAGTATAACAACCGCCATGTCCCGATCCCAACACCAGCCCTATCGCTAATCCATCACACCACGCCTACCAATCGGCTGTCTTCGGGAGTACTTGTAGCACGATTTCCTGCCAAAGCTGCGATGCATGGCGCAAGTCGCTAGCTCCCCTCGTCCCTTCGCGCAACAACAGAATGCGCCCCATGGCACCAAGAGAGCCGCCGACAGCTCGCTCGAGAACGAACAGCGGCTGAGTAAGCGCTTTGACCTGCTGAATCTAGGTATGCTCACCCCATTACACTCTACACATGGAAACCCCCTTCTAACAACAGTACAGTAGACAACAATGGCACCCGCCTCTACATCCCCGTCCCAGGCTCAACCGACGCCCCCCTCCCCCGGCATCCCCAAGGCGCAACCTCCTACGGCGACCCTTTAGCCTTCGTCTCACCACGTCGCCAACAACCCCGCAAGCCACGCCACGTCCGCGCCAGCCCCTCCCAAGAAGCATGCGGCATGGAGATAGAAGACACGCCCCACCGCGTCTACATCTCGGACCTAAGCGCCGAACTCTCAGACCTAGAATCCGACGAGGAAACGCCCATCTTCCTCTCCGACATCGAGAAGCACCTCTCCAAAATCCCTCAGCACATCTTACAGGGCCCAGAGCCCAAGCCCACGGATAAGAACCAGTTGGTGCTGTATAATGTGCCGAGCAGTTTGACGGTGCCCGAGGCGCAGGATAATGTGCGCAAGGCGATTGTAGAGGCGCGGCAGAGGATTAGGGATAAGCAGGTTAATCCCGTGACGGAGCCTGTGGATGTGGATCTGGGTAGGGATAGTAGTGTGGTTGGAGGACCGAGGATTATGGATGCGATACCCCGAGCTATGGCGTCACCTGTAGAGGGGGACGGAGATGCCATGGACATTGACTGATTTGAATGATTGCTTGAGTGAATGGTATTATTGGTAGTTGGTCATGAAATTATTATGGATAGTTTGTAACGCTTGTTATACATCAAATGCAATCAACGTGATCCAGTCACGATCTTGTATATCCGCCTTTTGCAGCTGTTTTGTATGTGCATCCTATCTACCGTCTGAATCTATCCAAAACACCCATAATCTTGGCCTTTGCTGGCCGAGGTGGCAGTTCTTGTGATTGTCCTTGCTCGACATCAGAACCGACAACGCCGCTCTGTTGAGGTCCGGCTTGTTGCGGTACTCCTTGTGGTGGGGCACCGTATACCGGCATCTCCATACCCTGAGCTCCTTGGTTCGGGTTCATCTTGGTGGCGCCGGGAGGAGGGGGCGCAAAGTATTGGGGCGGTGCATCAGTGTTCTGGTACAGCGGCGGGGGTTCTGCCCATGTGCCGTCCTGTCTTTGTGTGTATTGCGGGTTTGGTGCGTTAGGTGCGTAGGGGTTTTGCGTTTGGTAGAAGGTGAAGTGGTTCTGGGGGACCTGACCATGACGGCGGCGTTCAGAGTAGGATATGAGGAACTGTTGTGACCGTTAGTATATGAAGGGTTGCGTGTGTTGGAGAAGAGGGGTAACGTACGCGATGGTATGAGAGCAACGGTAGGCCCTTCCTCAGACGTTGCTTTGCGTGGATGCGGCCTCCTACAAACCAACCGAAGAATATGAGAAAGAAAGCTGCGAGGATAATCCATTTGACGATTATGCCTTTCTGTCATCTTGTTAGTTCGAAGTCCTGTGAAGACCACTGGGTGATGAGCCAAACATACGTCTGAGTACCAAAAGCCATTGTCGTCAAAGCCACACTCCCTCGATCCGTCATCAAATTCGACGCAGTATCTCTTTGTTAATGAAATCATAACTGCGGTGTGTGTATTCTCAGCAGAGATAGTAGTGCGAGTCGTGGATGTCTACGTTGGATCGCAGATGGGAAGATCGACTGGTATAAGCCCAGTATGTGCCGCAATTCAGGGAGGATGATATGGCCGATATGAGCGGTTAATGGGACAGCTGCGCCACTGCTACGTCGTTCTGTCCTTCGGTCGGTTAGGCTCCCGAGAGGGAGGTGTGTCGCGTGTGGAGTGGGTTGGCAACGGGTATTGTTTCAGATGTGTGAGGCGTGGGTGTGTTGGGTTTCAAGATGGGATGGATGCGCGAGCGGCTGTTGAATGGCTGCTGACCTTCGATAGTAAATAACTAAGGAAGTGGCTTGAGGAGAAGGAAATGGAAACTTATGGAAACGACGACGAATTGAATGAGTGACAAAAAGAACAACCAAAAAAAGAAGTGACGAAGATTGTGGCTGGGGCAACTGAAGCCTCGAGGTTGGGGAGGTCGGGGGAGCTCTGGTCTGCAAGGGACGCGTGGAAAGGAGTGGAGCGCGTCCCGTGCCCTGCAGGGCTGAAAGCTTGTTCCTTGCCCGCCTGGCCGGATGTGGCGGACTTCACTCCGCATCCTCATCTGTCAAAATGTGGCTGTGGCATTTATTGCGTTGGAAAATGCGCGTGAACCATGATGCAACAGTCGGTGAGGTTCGATTCTTTATATTGAAACATACACTTCCTTGTGTTACGTGTTGAGTAGCGCGTCTTCCCGCTAGACAGCAATCATCCGCCGCTGTTGCCGCTGCAGCAAGATGCTTTCTTTTTTCGCACATCACATTGTAAAGTACTGTTGGGATACAGATTGAGTTACGCGGAGAACCTCGCAGCACTGATGCGCGCACAATGGACATGTCATAATGATAGGTTGGATCAAATTCAGTGCCGTTGGGATGCCGGCTTCCCTAACCTAAAGCAAAAAAGAAACAAAACACAGACTAAACGTTGTGGTATAATGCCACCGAACGCCTGATTAACATGCCCAATGAAGACCTCACTATCGCACTCTATACTTCCGCCATTCCACTGTAGACTCCAGAGGTCCCCGCATGTTTCGCAATGCTACGTCACCGTGACGTATATTCCGCCGTCGGGCGCTGAACATAGAAAACGCCCAAAGGCTTCAACTCCGGTCCCATGCTTGAAGGTCAAATGAAACCGCGTGTACAGATAGAAAGGATAACCAGCGAAAGGAAAGTCTAATGTAACAAGTTGCGAAGAGATGGACTGGCACTAGCCCCCGTGTTGGCGCGCTCAGTGGGCGCAGACGTGACGGTTGGTGCCTCCCGCATCACTGTATCCATGGGTGTTGCCGGTCTGCCAGGTGCAGGGCTTCCGTGGTGGAGCACAGGGTACTGTGCTACTGGAGGAGGAGCAGTGAATGGGCTTTCACGCGACGCAGGATGTGCGTGAGGATGGGTTGGAGAATAGGGCATTGTCCGTGGTGATTGCATAGCCCCGTTGACCATCATCGCGCCGTTGTTGTGGTGCAACTGGGGAGGTCCACTAATGGGTGGTCCAGAGTACGGTGGCCGAAGCCCTGCCGCTGCTATCGCCGAGTGCATCGGTGCGCCTGAAAAGGCTGCATACCCATTCGGCTGAGGCGGATATGGCGCGTGGAATGCAGGAATATGGCCAACAGGTGGAGCTTGTAGTGGTGGTGGCCCGTAACCGTTTCCGTTGGGCATGTGGTGTGGGGGATGCCCAGGCCCTGGAGGAACACCGCTGTGCCATGAGGGCAACGGCGGAGGCTGACCTGGTATTTGGCCGCCTGGTAGCGCCCAACCTCCTGCCAAAGCTGGTGGTGGTGGTGGATATGGTGGAATTTGAGTCGCGGGCAGTGGATAGGTTTGTGGTGGCTCTTTGAAGATCGAAACTGATCTCGCTCGCTCTTCCTCCTCATCATCTTTGCCATTTTGCTTCTTCCAATGACACTTCTGGCACATATATGCAGCTGAAGGAGCCGCGTCCACATCCGTGTTGAGCCGCAAGGTTTTGTGTGCTGGTGAAGCAACAGCTGGCGCATCAGTCATTGGCTGATCGCCTTGGCCATTGCCGTTGACGATTTGGCCTTCCTCGACGACGGGCTTCTTCTCGATGTGGCCGTTCATATCTGCAGTACCGTCGCGGTCGATTGGTCCGTCTACTACACGAGGCGCTTGCGTTGCTGCCGTTTCCTCGTCAAGTTTCCACCATCGTGGGCTAGATTCGATCTTGCAGCGCACGCATTTACGCTCAGGCTTGGGCGCCGCTGGCTCGCTTGACTCTTCCTTGACTGATATACCAGCGTTGGACTGTCGACCTCGGGCTGACGTGGGTGTGGGCGCTGCGACTGCAGATGCTCGGCGGTTGGCCGGCGCAGGCACGATTTGGGGTACGATGCGTGTCGATTGGTCCACCAGATTGGCTTTGCGCGCGGTACCAGTCAGGGTGAGGTCAGCCTGCTTGAACTCCCGCGCGAACAGCTGAAGCGCAATCAGGTCTGTTCCATCTACGGGTTCATTCATTGGGTGGACAACAGTCTTGGGAGCGTGGTCTTTACACCAGATCGCGGCGATCAGAGTACCCGTCTCTCCGTTCATAGTCACCGTAGGTACGGCATCTCTGCGAGAGACCTTGACTGGGGTCATGTCGAATCCGAATGTATATCCGTTGCTGTGCGCGCAGCCAACATGGAAAGTCGCGTGGCACTGCAGGCACGATGTGCATGCGCCGTCGGTTGTCTTGCAAAGCTTACAGACTGCGTCGTACCGAAGTGTTGGTGCTCCTATTCCCTCCACCATGTCGAGACGTGTCGCGCTGCTGAACTTGATTTCAGGATGCCATATTGCACAATACACGTGCACCCAGTTGTTGTCAGCGGTGCGCTTGAGCGGTTCACGGGGTACAAGCGGTCGACCCTTCTCTTGTTGCCGAAGGCGATACTCGTCCTTGGCTTTGTCAATAAGCTCCTTCTCTAGGCGCTCCCTTTCGCGATCACGGTCCGTCCTCTTCTTGTGCGTAATCTTCGGTTGTTCATAGAACTCTTGCTCGGTCTCCTGCTGTGGGCAGAGAACGCACTCGTACGTCTTTTGATGGTCAGCATGATATCTGAAATGGCGAACCTGCAACTTACATATGACACACTCTCTTTCTTGTCGTTCTTGCATGGATCGCAATACCACTTGTTTGCCTGTCGCGTATCTTCGACACCGTAACAAGGTTTGTGAACAGTCAACCGACAGGCTGCGCATTCTAGACGCGTACCTTCCGACGACCGACATACAGCGCATGGCAAAGGCTTCAGTTTTGGAGGCGCAGGAACTGGTGGTGGAGTTGGGGCTTTGGGCGCCGGGGTAGCCTTCTCTTTTTCTTTCTTCTTCGAGACAGGCTCGTTGACAGGAGTTGTTGTTCCACTGTCTCCGTTGGTAATGGCGGCAGTTTTCTGCTTCTTCTTCGGTGGCTCTGCAATCGGTTGGACGATAGCAGCCGGCATCTCGACGTACTCCGGAGTGGGGTTCTTGGAGCTGGGGTCCGACTGCGCGGCGTAGACCTCACGCAGGAGCTCCTCGTCAATGCGACGCTTCCACGCCTTACCTCCACCCTGCGCGACCTTCTTTGCGATCTCGTCTACATTCTCCCATGTCACTGCATACTTGCGCCATAAATTCGCGCAGCGCAGGCAGAGGGCGATGAGGAATCCGGTTTTGTCCTTGGAACGACCATCGGGGGGTATCACTTGACCAGGTGTCACGCCAGGCGCGCGTCTCCATTGGCGAGAGTGGCGAACTGTGCAGAACTTGCACTGGAAAAGCCGCTTGCGCTGAACGGCCTTTGCGCTGTCGAAAGCCGAGTCGTCTGCGGCATCCGCTACGTCGTCAACAAGCCGGGATTGTGCGTCAGGTTCAACCTTCTTGCTGCGGCCCTTGCGGCTACTGTAAGAGCCCCAGATCTCTCTTCCTTTGGGTGTCTTCTTCCACATGTAGTAATAGCGCACGGCATCCCCGTAGAACATGGTCTTGCTTGTGTGCTGGCGGACGAGCCTGATCTCAGAACCATATTTTGCCACACCTTCGTTCCACTTCTTCTCTTCTTCCTTGGTCAGCTCTGGTTCTTTCAAGTCTTTCCGCTTGTCGATCTTCTTGACATGCTTCAAGGCTACATCCGCGTCGTACTGATATTTGGTGAAGAGCGTCAAGCACCGATCCAAGAAGTTCGTGTTGTACGGTTCCACCCCAACATGCGACTTGGCCAATGCCCTTGCCCGATTCATGTAGGCTTTTACTTGATCTTCCGTGACGTTGGGAGCGTTGTCTTCTCCTCGAGTGGAGTGTACTCCTAGTGGAGGCATCTTGAACATCAATTCCGCGGTACACTTGGAGTCCTTGTTCGGCAGGTCTTCACCACGACGAACATAACCAGGCGGCTCGTCCATTACCCACTTAGGGCGCTTAGCCTTCTCCGCCTTGTCTGCTTCGATCGCGGCTACCGTCTCTTTCGATAGCTTGCCTTCCTTCTTGTTACCCGCAGCCTTGACGTAGCGTTTCTTAATCTCCGCAGGTTTGACCAGTTCCACAGGGTGTCCATGCCAGACGTTGACGTTTGCTTGATGTCGAGGTCCCAGCCGAGAACTTGCGCGAGGGTAAATGGCCCGATCGTCGTACTGCAGTGCGTCCTCTACCCGGCAGTGTATGCCAAGATATCGCATAGGCCACATCTTAGCCAAAGCAATCTCGGCCTGTGTTGCAGGATGTGTGTCGACTTGGGAATCGGGGTCCGGTGTGTCTGCATTGGTATCGCCGCTTGCTTCCTCCTCTTCCTCATCTATGACTTCTTCCTCTTCGGCATCTTCGTGAGTGGTACCCAGGCGGGCCTCCAACTTCTTCTCTTGCGCTCTGCTACATGGACCACAAGCCCAAGCAAATCCACGAGATGGTTTTTTGAGTAATGGTGGGCGCACGCAGTTCATGTGATAGGTGTTGTGACACACTGCGCACTCA